CGGTGCCCCCCGGGCGGCTCCCATGCTGGCGCGGGTCTCCGGATGCAGCCAGCGGGGTTTGGCCTCATGCCAGGGCTGGGGAGAAAATTGCCCCTCGGCTGCCTCGGGGAGCGCTCGGAGCCACGGTCAGCGACCCCTTTGATCCAACGTTTCCCTGTGACGCAGGGTCCCTCCTTTTCATCCCAATCCAGGGTTCATTCTCTGTCTGGTTCCTCATTTCCTCAGGAAGGGCAATTCCTCTTCTTCTTATCCTTGGTCCTCCTCGCATCCCTATCCCCCAAATTACCACTAATGCCCCCTCCTCTGCCCCGTGGTCCCTGGGGGGACACGGCGCTGCCCGCGCTGGCATGCGCTGGGATGGGGATGAGCGGATCCTGTGCTGGCAGCACCCGTGGGCGAGGAGCACCCACCACCCACCCGGCTCAGCTCTCACCCCGGCCACGCCGATGCCATACCACTCCCTTTCCTCTTCCCTTCCCTCCCGTCAGCCGCCGGGGTCTGTCCGTGCGGTTTAGCCCCTACTGAGTATTGATAACCGTGATCTTTCTTCTCCTTTCGCATGGATCATTACCAAATGCTTAATAGGAGTCTGCCTTAACAACGCCACGATACCTCTACTAATAGAAACATAATTGTCAGGGCTTGCCTTATTAAATCCCCCAGCTGATCGTCGCAGGTGCTATTTTTACGCTATGAAATAATTAACTCCGTTTCTGTGCAAGAGCCGGGGCCGGAGGGCAGGGTGCCCCCATCATGCCGCCCGGCAGCCTGCAGTGGCCATCTCAGCCGTGGCGGCCACGCCGGGGCAGGGCTGTGGGTCCGCTCGCCTCTTCCCAGCGGACGCTGGAGAGGTTCACATGGTCCTTTCAGGAGGGCTCGCGGTGGGGTTTGGCTCGGAGGATGCTCGGTGCAGAAATGCACCCCGGCTGCAGGCAAGGAGAGGGGCCGGGGGGAGGGGAGGCAGCCCGGGCGGGGGAGGGCCAGGGGCAGGGAGCAGAGGAGACAGCCGGTCCGGAGAAGGACCCCAGCATCGTCCTCTTCCCAGCAGGAGAGGTGCCCACGGGGCCATCGGCCCTTGCAGTGCGAAGGACCAGGGAGGCGTTGGGACACGCTGCAGCATCTCCTGGTTCCCATCACCGGGACCTGCCTTTCGGCTCTCAGGGGATGGCAGAAAAATCACTGCCGGGCAGAGGAGCTCCGCCAAAGGCATCCGCTCGCTGCCGCCACGTGCGCGGGCACATCTGCCGGCGTTATCAGCAACACGCGCTCGGCAGGGTGGCAGGGACGTGACCGGGGCGCAGCCGCATGAGCATCGCCACCCCCTCATCCCGGCGGGACCAGGGGAGCCCAACCCGGCTGGTGCCCGGGACCCCTGGCCCCTCCGTGCCGGTAGCGTCGGGGTCAGCCCAGCCCCATCCCCGCAGAGTGGGGG